GACATCTCTTCAGCATACTAATTTTGTAGCCTTTTTATATATACCAAATAGATAATATGCTAGATAATGTGGTAGTTCTGTTTTTTATTTTTGAGGAACCTCCATACTCTAGTAGAGTTCAAAAGGATGCCAGTGATTTTGGAGATCTGCAAAAAAGAGCCCAAAAACTAGATTCCAATAAGGTCTTCTAGTAAATGGACAGAGAAAGCTAGAAAGATGAGGAAGTAGAAAAGTTGTTTGGTTAAACTGTGAAGAAGTAAGTAGAGTTAGGCCTTATTTTATAGGTCAGCCTGATTTACAGGCCAGCAGTCTAAAGTTCAGTGACTTACCTGAGGAGCAGAACTCATGTGTGAGTTCAAGTCTTGAAATCCCAATTGTAGTCCTCCTACTGTGTATAATGCAGCTGGATAACTTTCTTGTGTTATGAATATGAAATAGAAGTGTATAAAAACAAATGAAAGTATTCTTATGGTGTAAGATTCTTAAAAGAAAACAATTTTTTAAAAATACACATTTTTATCTCTTCCATCTAATACAGGTGTCTAAAGTATTGGAAGAATTTGATGTTGAAGAACAACCAGGTACCATGTTAGAAAATCGCTTTCCCAACATTAAAGTTATTGAATCTGGAGTAAAGGAACTAAAGAGTGAAGAACACGTAAGATTTTTTTTTTTTCCCTTAATGACATTTCTCCATTGTGAAATCTTGGTGACGTTTTGTCTGATTGCTTTTGATCCTCTCTCTGCCTCCATCACCATTTTAAGTCATTAATATATAAAGTTTAGTGACATTGATTTCCATTATTTTCCCAAAAAAACAGATACTTTTTGTGTTTATCGAGATTATGTAATTATCTTACTTACTTAGGCATTTTATTTTTCAGATTTCAAATTCCACTGTGTTCTGGGTACTGCATTAGGTGCTGGGATGCAATGGGAATAATACAAATACAGTTCCTAGGAGCTGTCAGTGTCATAGGGAATGCAGACGTGAATTCACATAATTAGATGGACATGTAAAAAGCAGAGTCATTGAAATAGTAGCAAAGCTCTTATGAGGAATTTGAGTTGGGTTTTTTGTTTTTGTTTTTCTTTATTCATGATAAAGCACTTGAGTGCATTCAAAACAGGGAGCATGAGAGAGAGAGTAAGAGAGTAAGAGAGAGAGAAGCACCCCCTACAAGGTCTGGTCATGCTGTGGTCCCCTTCCTCTGGTCCTTTTGATCTTGGGTGCTTATACACATACCTGGTATGTTTCAGATAGACTGGCCAAGCACATAAACCCACCATGTAGGAACTACCTTCTCCTAAGGAAGGTAGTGCTTTTCTACTGTTCCACAGAACTGGCTCTGAGCTAGGTTGTGAGATAGATGAATTAAAGAGTTCTCCAGGTGTAAAAAAGCAGTTCAGCTAGAAAGGACTGAATGTTCAAAGGTCCAAAGGAATGAAAGAGGGCATGTGAAATAGTGAGGAAGTCAAAGGGTAGATGAGTAAAGGAGATTGGCAAAAAATCTAAAGAGAGAAGCAAATAAGAGTATAAAGAATTTTTAAATGTCAGGCTAAGAAATTGAGTGTATTTTATATTCAGTGGAGAGATTGTAAAGTGATTTTAAGTGGGGTCAGAATGAGAAAATAGAGGGGTTTTTTGTTTTTGTTTTTTGTTTTTTTTTTGTAGAGGTTTTTTGCTATAGGGCACGTGTGCTCACCAGAAAGACAGAGAGAGACAGAGAGAAAGCAAGAAATCACTTTCCAGGGGAATGGCCACTCTGCAATCCCTTCTTCTCCATTCTCTTCTTGCGATCTTAGGCACACATGCACACGCGCCTGGCATGAGTTTAAACCGCCGGGTCCAGGACTCGAACCGCGGTCAACTACATGGGAGTCCAGCGACATAGCCATTACACTAACTGCTGGCCCCTGTTCTGTTTAAGAAAGATCTATCTGACAGCAATGTCAAGGAAGCAGTGGGGTAGAGCAAATGCCTAGTTGTCAATAACCAAATGAGGAGGTAGCTGTAAGTAGTCCAAAATGACGTACGGCCTAAACCAGGGACAGTGTAGTTGGAAAGACGATTCCAGGTTTGTGTGGTATTTCTGCTATAACCTCAGCAGGTCTCGGTAACTCCTCAGACATGAGAATGAATAAAGCAGTGTCAAGAAAGGATGTTTTCACATGATTTATAATATCCATGGATGAGCTATCGGCACAGTGAGAAGCAGGATCTGTAGTTGTTTCTATTAGGCAGCTGTAATTTGTGAGTTTCTTGTAGGAGAAACACACACACACGCGCACACACACACACACCACATTTGAAACAATTTAAGTGATAAGTACTGAGTTTTATGAGAAAAAAATTAAAACTCTAAATTTCAAAATCCCAGAGTAAGTTTCTCATACTTAACAGTGTTTGATACATATTCATAGTACGTCTTTGTCAACTGATTTTGCAAATTAAGGTGGACTTTCAAAGCCATACCAATGAGGGACGTTGTATATTAGGGCAGTTGAATGAATCTATGTGCCTTCTGTTACCATTGAAACGTACCTGATGGTGATAAGTGTCTGCATTTTCTCATCCATCATCCTGTACACTCTTTAGTGCATTAGAAATTGTGTAATTTACTTTCAAGTCTACCTTGTAAAAGTTAGCAGTTACTAATGAAAAGTTTTTTGTTTATACTGTTTTGTACAGTAGCTAAATGTATTTTTTTTTTTAGGAGAGATGTTGCTATAGGGTGCCTGTGATCACTGGAGAGATAGAGAGACAAAGTGAGAAATCACCTGCCAGAGGGGATGGCCAGTACAATCCCTTCTCCTCCATTTTGCTCTTGGGATCTGGGCACGCAGGCACACATACCAGGCATGAATTTTAAGTCACCTAGTCTAGGACTCTAATGGCAGTTAACTACTTAGGAGTCCAGCAACATAAGCATTACGCCATCTGCTGGTCCCGCAAATTATTTTTTGTTTGGTCTTTGTCTAAATTGACTTCTATTTCTGTCAGATAAAATTCTAATCAGATTATCTGACAGAAGACTTAAATAAAACTTCTATAGAGTTTATGCTATGTTGGATTAAGGATTTTATATATTTGTTATGCAGCTTAAGAGTTCAATTGGGTAATACATTTCTCAGTGAATATTAAGTACTATGATATGATTTGCTAAGTTCTATAAATCTAACCTGTGGCACGAACATTAACCCTTAAATCATTTAACAAAGTCGAGTGTCTCACAGTAACATACATTTAAGTTTATCTGCTTTCTAAAGGTTGCTACATATATGGAGATCTTCATTCTATATTAAGGAGCAAACACAATAGATCTCTAATACATAGTTTTAGACTCAGTGGTATTATGAAAAATAAATATGAATAACCTAAGCCCAATACATGTCACAGTAAAAAGTCAACATGTTTTTCACTTAATTAAAAATAATTCCCCTGGGACCAGCAGTTAACATAACGGCTATGTCACTGCACTCCCATGTAGTTGACCGCAGTTCGTGTCCTGGACCCGGTGGCTTAAAACTCACGCCAGGCACATGTGCGTGTGTGCCCAAGATCCCGAGAGGAGAACAGAGAAGGGATTGCGGCATGGCCATCCCCCCTGGAGGGGGGCGTGATTTCTCGCTTTCCATCTCTTTGTCACTCTCTGTCTGTCTGGCGAGCGCACGCGCCCTTATAGCAAAAACCTCTCCAAAAATAATAATAATAATAATTCCCCAAAGCAATTTAGCAGATAGTAAGGCGTGATATGATTATAATCACTAGATCTTTTTTATAGTAATTTCCACTGAAGTCAGACATCATCTTTAAGACCTGTTCCAGTTGTAATATGAACAAAACACTCAAAACTTTTTTAACGTTTAGTTTTTGACCCAAAGTCAACATGTCATTCCAAACATTGGACTCCCTGAAATTTAGTGCTGAATTTTGTGTGCTTGTGCCTCTTTATTCTAGGTGAAGAAGGCTAGTTTTCATAATTCTCAAAATGGTTCATGATCCTAAAATGATTAGGAATCACTAGAGTAGAAATGTATTTTCATGCTAAGTTTTGTAATTTTATAACAAAGTAAGTCCTGAGTGCCATGAAGAGGCAACTTTAATGTATTATTTTTCGTTTTTGCCTTACTGGATTTTTAAATTTTACAGATGTGTTTCTCTCTCTTCTTTTCATTGCTATATGTGTTCCCAGTACATTTTAACAGAAGACGGCAGTAAGCTCGAGTATAAGAAACTCTGTCTGTGCGCTGGAGCTAGACCGAAGTTGATATGTGAAGGAAATCCTTATGTTTTAGGAATCCGTGATACAGACAGTGCTCAGGTAACTTTTTAAGGTTGGGTCTTGGGAAGGAAACATGAAGATGCCTTAGACTGTTCTCCTTCTCAAAGTGTTCCACTTGTAATGTTAATTCCTATACTGTAAGAGCCAAAGGGTGGTTTTTGTCTCATGACCCGTACACCAGGAAGTGGTTATAGTGTTTTATTACTCCAGTTTTATTTTCTTAGTTGATAATTTAGTTTTTACTCTGTGTCCCTTTGATTGTGAGATATCCTAGACTATAGAACAACTCTGCAGAATGTTACAGTTTACACTACATGTACATATATTTCTGTACTCTGGAGATACATGATTTGCAACTTACATCACGAAAAGGAGAACGCATACTCAACGTTTCTTGAACTTATTCTCCAGCAAAGAAGTTAATATCCAAAAGATTTATTTGGTTGAGAACCATGACTAATCTATGCAACTGAAAAAAAATCACTTGTTTTATTGCTCTGGTCCAGAACTGTGAAAAACTATCCCAATAAAGTGAAACTTCTATACCTGGAGCATTATGCAACTTCTTGTGGTAATTTATTTCAGGGTTTAAGTTAAGAAAAAAGGAGAGGAAGAATAGGATTAAATGTTGTGAAACTAAACATTTTTGAACATAAAGAAACTTTTATTTTGTCTAGTAGTTTATCTGATCTCAAGCTCATTGTTGTTTTTTCCCAGAGGTGGTGAATTTGCATTATATAATATTTTATATTCATGAAAATTAGTAATGTTTTCTTTCAGCCAATTTTTATATCAGTAATTAGGAATTTAGGGAAAAAAAAAACTAAAAGAACTTGATTATCTTCTTTTTTTTTTTTTTTTTTTGGAGAGATTTTCACTGTAGGGCGTGTGCGCTCGCCAGACAGACAGAGAGAGACATAGAGACAGAAAGCAAGAAATCACCCCCCAGGGGGGATGGTCACGCCGCAATCCCTTCTCCTCCATTCTCCTCTCGGGATCTTGGGCACGCACGCACACGCGCCCGGCGTGAGTTTTAAGCCACCGGGTCCGGGACACGAACCGCGGTCGACTACGTGGGAATCCAGCGACATAGCCATTACGCTAACTGCTGGTTCCCAGAACTTGATTATCTTCTTATAAGCAGTTTAGGTTCAAGTTATCAGACATTGCGCTCAGAACTGTGTTCCACTTAGGCCTTCTACATACACAGATCCATTGAATCATCATGATAATCCATGTGACAGTTATTACTCCCACTTTACAAACAGGAAACAGATCAAGAGATTAAGTGTCTACCTAAAGTAGCTATGAAGTTGATCAGCTATACAGTTTAAACTTCTGTCTGTCATCTCTTTGTCTAGTACTGATTATAGATCTTTCTTAAATTGTCCACTACCCTCAATGAAGGACAAACTAAAATTAATATCAGTTTTTTATTTATTGTAAAATTTTAAAGAACTTCAGTAATTATTAAATATTATAAGTTTGGGGGTTAATTTAATAGAAATGGTAATAGGAGGAGGGATGTATCTGTTCCGGTGACATTCTGAAGCAGAGGTACTATTCTTTACTTAAGAGCCAGTGGCTTCCTAAGCTCATGGGGATCTTTTTTGGGGGACTGGAGATATCAGTTAGCTATCTTATAATGGTAGTAGCATAACAGTTTTTTTTTGTTTTTTTTTTTGTTGTTTTTTTTTTTGAGAGGGTTTTGCTGTAGGGCGCGTGTGCTCACCAGAAAGAGAAAGACAGAGACAGAAAGCAAGAAATCACCCCCCAGGGGGGATGGCCATGCTGCAGTCCCTTCTCCGTTCTCCTCTTGGGATCTTGGGCACACACGCACACACACCCGGCATGAGTTTAAGCCATCGGGTCTGGGACTAGAACCGCGATCAACTACATGGGAGTCCAGTGACATAGCCATTACGCTAACTGCTGGTCCTATAGCATAACATTTTTTAAAAATAAATGTTAAGTTTTATTATGTGCCTGCTACTCCTAATAGCTTTAGCTACATTATCTCATATATTCCTTACAGAAACTTCAGGAGGTATAATCATTTAGTTTCCGTTTACAGTGAAGGAACCTGAGCTGCAGAGACATTAAGCATTGCTTAACCGCTATAGCCAGTGGCTGCAGAAGTCTGTGCTTAATAACTGTGCTGCTCTGCTTCTCATTCCTGATAGTTTCAAGTGTTGCATGACTAGGGAAATGTGTCAACTGAATGACTGGAAGAAAAGAAAGAATAATTGAACTGGTCAGATAGTTGGGAAAGTAGCAAACTGAAGGCAGCATCTCTTGCTGAAATTCTGAAGTACTCTTAAGTGTAATGACATAAAAGGCAAGGGAAATAAGGGGGGCACTGCTGAGAAGGCATCTTGTGGTGATGTACAAAGGGGACAATTTGTAATGTTAAGTGGGTGGGGGGGCTCCTAGCAGAGTGGGAAAGTGAGTTTCTTTTACTGTTCCTTTGTAAGTTCAAGTAAGTACTTACGTTTTCAGAATATTATTAGTGAACCCTTTTTTTCAGGTATGTGCCCACTATCTCATTTTCTTTTTAATATAGGAATTTCAGAAACAGCTGACTCAAGCTAAACGAATAATGATCATAGGAAACGGTGGTATTGCACTTGAGTTAGTGTAAGTATATATTTTTAAATATTAAGAATTGGGGGACCAGCAGAGGGCATAATGGTTACATCAGTGGACTTCCACGTGGTCAGGCATGGTTCAAGTCCTGAACCTGGCAGCCTAAAACTCACACCAGGAGCATGTGCACCCAAGACCCCGAGAGAAGAATGGAGGAGAAGGGATTGTGGCGTGGCCATCCCCACTGGGGGCATTTCTCGCTTTCTGTCTCTTGTCTCTCTGGCAAGTACATGTACCTATAACAAAAATTTCCCTCTAAAAAAAGAGAAAAAAGAATTGGTCTGGGATTCATGTGATTATTTTAAGACTAGAAAACATCTTTAATCCTGAAAAATTAAAGGTAAATATAATTCTTTTCATGTTTTCAAGCAGAAAAATCCACTTTTATTTTTTAACTCTCATGGAATCCATAGTTGTAGCAATTTCTTTACAAGACATAAATGTTTTGGGAATGCTTTAGGTTTCAAGGAGTCATACATCCATGACTGCCCAGATTTAATCCATAGATGTGTATTATAAATATGCGCTACGTTTAAAAATAATTTAAATGTGTACTTCAGAGATATCTATCCTCAGTCCCTGCCTCTTTTTTTTTTTTTTTTCCTTCTTTCAGGTTTTTTGGTTTTGGTTTTGGTTTTTTTTTTTTGCCATAGAGCATGTACAGTCACTGGAAAGATACAAAAAGAAGAAGATAGTGAGAAATCACCTCCTTTGAGGATGGCCACAATGCAGTCCCTTCTACTTTCTTTTGGGATTTGGGCACACACACAACTACGACTGGTTTGAGTTTCAAGGCACAGGTCCAGGACTTATACTGTGATTGGCCATGTGGGAGTCCAGAGCCTTAACCACCATGCTACCTGTTTACCCCATCCCCACCTCTTTTTATTGCTTGTACCTATTCTATTTCACTTGTTTATGTTACCCATCTGGCTAATGATACCCAAATGTTTGCAACTCCTGTTTTAGGATGTATAATATTCCCAGCTGTTAATTATTAGAACTTCAGGAAGTGTGAACATGTTAATTAGCACAAAATATCTTCATCTTCAAATGGTATTTCAAGTTCAAAAACATTGAAAAATACCCTCTGTGGCCTGCAAAGCATTGATTCACTTTCTTTTTGAAGAGTCAGATATACTAAACTTTTTTGCTGTGACATGTTTCTTGATTAGTCTTGAAAAATCATATAACCTAACTAGGTTACATTGTGATACAAAGATGGCAATACTTTGTACCATAAAAAACGTGAATACATTAATACACGATATTCTTTTTTTTTTAAGAGTATTTTGATATAGGGCACACGTGTTCGCCAGAGAAACAGAAAACAAAAAAATCAAGCCTCAAGGGAGATGGCCACGCCGCAAGCCCTTCTACTCCATTCTTCTCTCAGGATATTGGGCATGCATGCACACACTCCTGGCGTGAGTTTCAAACTGCCAGGTCCAGGACTCAAACCACAGTCAACCATGTGGGAGTCTAGCACCTTAACCACTCTGTCATCTGTTGGCCCCATAGTATTCTTAGTGATGTGGCAAGTTAAAATACAATCCTGTTATAATTAGGATGACCATGTATCTTGTTTGTCTAGGATTGGCCAAATTTACACTATTTGTACCAAAATAATTATTAATAGATAGTACCCTGGGTTAGATGATAAATTACATGATCATTTTAATTATAATGGACTTCAGGGACTTTGTGAAAGGACTATTGCTTAGAAAATCACATTCTTAATGTCTAAACCTAAAAAAAAAAAACATCAAATACCAGACGCTGGTTTTTGAGTAGTAATGGAAGGTGGCTTATATATACCATGCCCTTACATTCTTCCTCTAAGATCCTGATCTTTCTGTGAACCATATCTTTCATGGGCCACATGTTTAGATATTTGTGAGATAAAGGGGATTAAATATAAGGTAATGGTTCATTAATAACGAAGTTACGATTTTAGCTTATAACTAATTCTTTCCTTTTTTGTCCCCTGCCATAATTTTAGCAAGTCATCAGACTGTTCTCAGTATTGTAGCAACATACTACCCATCCAGTGCTGGTAACACTGTAGCCAGATCAAAGCACTGCTTACTCCTGGGAATCCTGAGAGAAAGTCATAACAACTATATTATAGAATTGAACACTTTGAAATGATATTCATTGTAATGAAATTTCCTTGATATTCAATAAATATATTTGTCAATTATAGGTTCTCAGTGAACTGATTAAATTTTTATTATACATTCTATTTTTAACTCTTATCCCTAAAGATTGTTACATTCTTTTTTACTTAGTCTTTCCCAATTTCCCTTGAAATATTTTCTTTACTTTTGTCTTAGTAGATAATTGTTATTTGGAGACGAAGATTTTTACCTAGGCTTTTGAAATTACTCTAAATAAATTTTAATATTCCTTTTAGGTATGAAATTGAAGGCTGTGAAATCATTTGGGCCATTAAAGATAAAGCAATTGGGAATACATTTTTTGATGCAGGAGCAGCTGAATTCTTGACTTCAAAGCTCATTGCTGAAAAATCAGATGCTAAAATTGCACATAAAAGAACCAGATATACAACTGAAGGTAAATATAATATCTAGCTCATTAATTCACAGATTACACTATTTTTTAACTATATGAGAAAATTTAGTAAAATATACTTAGGGGTTAAGAATAAGGATAGCATTTTTTCTATATCTTTACCTAAAGTTTCCAGAATTTTCTAGAACATAGTGAAATAAAGCAGCCCATCTATATCTTTGCAAACAGATGCCGTAATCCGGCAATAGCTAAGATAATTTTGTATGAACTGCAGTGAGTTTAAATGCTAAAACAAACCTCACTTTTGTTGATAATAGCATCTCCTCCAAAAGGTTTACTCACTCCGTGCTTCAGTGAGAAACAGACAGCATTGTCAACAGGGTCCTCGCTCCACCATCCACTACCAGCCTCAGTCTCACATCATAGGCACACGTACACACCAGGCATGTACAGTGAGGCACTAGGACTGGGGAACTTCCAGCTGTGGATCCAGCTGTTACCTCTAAGCAATCATCTGGCCTCGGTAGCTTTTTTTAACTTTTGGCTTATAAAATTCAAGAATTTTCTAAGTTTTAGAGGTGCCAGAAATTGACATGAATTTGGAAAATAAATCTGATGACTAATTTTCTTAACCTTTCATATTAAACAGTATATGTAAGATTCAAAAGATGTGTTAAGTGTGCTGATACTAAATATTCAATTTGAAAGACTACCATTTGTAGCTATGAATTAAATATTAAAATAATTAACAAAGTAAATACTAAAATATGTTTCTAAATAAAATTATTAATATAGATAACTTCATTTAACCACATTTAATATATGACAATCATTACATTGCCTAAAACTTCAGAATATAGCATAATTCTCTACCTGGAAATTTTTATTTCATTTGATTTTCTCTCTTCAGGAAGGAAAAAGGAAGCAAGAAGCAAAGCTAAAGCTGATAATATAGGCAGTGCCTTGGGACCAGATTGGCATGAAGGTTTGAATCTTAAAGGAACAAAAGAGGTATGTTTTCATATACTGATTAGACATGTCTAAATGTAATTTTGAATTCCTGAACCATTTGTTAAAGTCTGGTTACAAATAAAAAGGCAAAGAATTGCTAGGTCACTTTACTTAAAATCCATCATTCTGCAAAAGAACTTCAAAGCTATTTGTCACAGTTGTCTATCAGAGATAGGTGAAGATCAGATTCAGCAAAAACAACACTCAGCCTTCATTTTAACTTTGCAGACAAGAGCCCCAGATCCAGACTATACCAAACATACCTGTCCTATTTTAAGGTCACGTCAGAGTCATGCAGTAAACTGATATTATAAAGGTTACATTAGATGGATTTAGATGGATTTAAATACATACTTAATATCCTAATTAGATAAGCAGATGACCCGTTTTTACTCATTCGATATTTTATTTTTATTTATTTATTTTTTTGGAAAGGTTTTTGCTATAGGGTATGTGCGCACACCAGAAAGACAGAGACAGAAAGCGAGAAATCACCCCCCCCCAAAGGGGGGTGGCCACCCCACAGTCCCTTCTCCATTCTCTTCTCAGGATCTTGGGCACACATGCACACATGCCCGGTGTGAGTTTAAGCCACTGGGTCCGGGACTCGAACTACGGTCGACAACATGGGAGTCCAGTGACATAGCCATTACGCCAACCGCTGGTCCCAGAAGTTTTATTTTTAAATAGTTGTTAAAAGACTGTTAACAACAAAAATTAGATGTATCATGAAGCTAAAACCCCACCTACCTAAAGATGAAAACCAAAACTTTAAAGAAATCACTTCTTACAATATGTATTTACTATTTAATCACTATATATTCAGTTTTCTCTTAAGATTCATATTTAAATACTATAATTTGATACAAAGATGAAAATATAGAAGATCTAATGCTAATTAAAGCAAGCCAGACTATGAAAGGCATGGTATGTCCCCATTCGGTATACCAAATGTCTGCACTCTATGGCATAAAGTGAAGGACTAGAAGATAAAGTAGCAGGAAGGGCAAGTGTAGGTATCAGAGATTACATAGGACAGGATACAGTGGAGAGTGTGAGGGAGGGCTCAGGAAGACATTTAACAGAAACAAGAATGGAAAGTTATCTGTTTAGGATGACGTAGATGGTAACATCTTTGACCTGACTGACACACACCGCATGCATGCTTTGAAAAACTCTATTGTATGCTGTAAAGATGTATAGTGATTAAATAGAAAATACATACTGTAAGAAGTGTGCAAGCAGTTCATTACTTTTGTGATTCTTTTTAAAAAATTATGTATTTATTTTAATTTTACCAGAGAGAGACACAGAGGGAGAAAGAAAGCAAGTCACCAGGTCCAGGACTTAAACCTTGGTTGCCTATGTGGGAGTGTCCAGCACCTTAACCACCACACCACATGCTGGTCCCACTTTTGTGATTTCTTTAAAATTTTAGTTTTCAGCTTTAGGTAGGTGGGGATTTAGCTTCATGATACATCTAATTTTTGTGATGGAAATGATGCACAATCATTTTTTTCTGACTTTCAGATCCTAAAGTTGATTGTATTTTTAACCTGACATGGTCAGCAGCTTAGTTCGGTAAACATTTACAGAGTATCTAATATCTACCTGGCACCTCACTACAGTTTTGCCATAAACAGTGAATCAAGAGAGACATGCCCTGAAGAAGTTTTAGTCTGTAACTACGGTAATAAAAAAACATACATGTGAAATGAGCAATGAAGTCTACACTAAAAATCCCGCCCTCTGTGCTACCTGCCAGTGCAGCTGCTGATTCTCTGCTGAATGAACTTCTGCTCAGTTCTTCCATGCACAAAACTTGAGGCTTATTTTGGGGCCTCTAATGTATTTCCACTTATAAGAACTATTTTGTCTCTTTTAATGTAAGTGAATGAAATTTGTTTCTTCATCTGAGTAAATAGGTCCTTCTTCTGCAAGGAAAAAGTTGACCAATATTTTCTTATTTTAGTTTTCTCATAAGATTCATATTGAAACTACATGTGAAGTAAAGAAAATCTATCTTCAGGAAGAATTTATACTTTCGAAGAAAAAATCCTTGACTTTTCCAAGGCATCATCATAAGTCAGTTACAACTGACAAAGGTAAATAATGGAATAAGAAAAAAACAAACCACATAACTATTTATTTAGACTGAAGACAATTTAATTTTGTTATATATACCGAAAAACAATTCCAGGTTTCCATTTAAATTTAAACATGAAGAGTAAAAATAAACCACAGCGTAATAACACCAAGTCACTTAATTTCACTACATATTCTTTAGGTTTTCTAATAAATTGTGTAAGCCTCAAGTTTTACATAGGATTCAGAGTGTTTTGACTGTCACAGGCTGATGAGTCAGAATATTTTTTAGATAATAACAAAACATACAAACTCAAGCCTTTGGAGGTGAAATGACTTCAAATCAAATAGATCGAAAAATCTATGTATTGGGGATGAAGATGTACATCTCTTCATTCCTATTGTACACCTCCTGTAAGAAGTACTATCATTTGTGGGACCAGCAGATGGTGTAATGGTTACGTTGGTAAACTCCTACATGGCCGACTGCAGTTTGAGTCCTGAACCCAGAGGCTTGAAACTTAATGCTGAGCACATGTGCATGCGTGCCCAAGATCCCAAGAGGAGAATAGAGGAGAAGGGATTGTAGTGTGGCCTTCACTATGGAGGGTGACTTCTCACTTTCTGTCTCTGGTGAGTGCATGCACCCGATAGCAAACTATAACAAAAATCTCTCTTAAAAAAAAGAAGTGTAATCATTTGAAGAAATACATTCAGCCATTTAGTATATGAGATATTCCACTATTTTGAATTCCTCGGATTTTTCCATAGGAAAAGAGAGTGTTAACAGTTAGAATATGGATAGAATGAAAAACATTGAAAAGTAAGCTAATGGGACTAAACACTAAATGAAACAAAAATATTAATAAATATATTTAAAGAAATAATTTATAAAGTCTGTCTGTCTCCCTCCAGTAAATACACATGCCCTCTAGCAAATTTTTAAAAAATTGTCCAAATTTGGAGGAAAAAATGTTTAGAATGCCATGATTTTGTAACTATACCCAGGACGAGATGTTTTAACAAAAAATTATTTTAACTAATATCCTCATTAAAAATTAAGGGGCATTGTGATGTTGTTCTAAAGTCATCTCCTGCCTTCTTTTTGTTTCTTTTTTGGTTTCCAATCATTATATTCACATAGGTTGTGGACAGTTGATGGTGATTACACTGGAGAATAAAGTCTGCCTTTTTTTTTTAAGAGCTATGGCCTGTATATGTGGAATTGACGAACGAAAAGATATATGGCTGTGATTTCATTGTCAGCGCTACAGGAGTTATACCAAATACAGATCCTTTTCTCCATGGCAACAATGTAAGGCAATTTTTTTTTTGGCCAGTTACAAATATTTTTAAAGTATTAATTCTTTATGAATACCTGTGTTCTCAAACAAGAATATTCACTGTTTTAGGACAAACTTTTAACTTAAGATGGCTAAAAACAACTTGGCTTATATTTATAGTGTGATTTACAGTATCCTTTACTGCATAAAATTCTTAAGCAGTTAACATCTCAGCATAAGCATTATCATTAATGGGACATAATATGCAATTTATAGGTTAAGAGACTGACACCTCTTACAAATTCTTAAGTGATTCTTTTAGAGAAATGATACTATATTTTTGCTTTTTAATATTGAAGCTTATGAAAAGAGGTGTGTTTTTAATTATAGGTCTAGTTATATGATTATTGGGCATTTTTGATGTTAAAATTCTAAGAATTTTATAAGTTGCTTTTGAATTTTATGAGCCTCTCTTGGTAGAAATTTGATCCCTGGAATTCAGCTTAGGTATCTAAACTTTGCAGCTACTTTTCACTTTCTTATTAAAGATCAACATACAAAGGTGTTATAAGTTTGACTTACTCATTTACTTTAGAATAAAAAAGTCTTGTTCATTTTTCTTAGCACTTACGCTTATGAAGAACATTGTTTAGTTTGATCTAGGAGAAGATGGTGGTCTCAAAGTGGATGACCATATGCAGACATCTCTTCCCGATGTCTACGCTGCAGGGGACATCTGCACTGCATCCTGGCAGCCCAGCCCCTTCTGGCAGCAGGTGAGGCAGCACAGATTACCACATGTTTTTGTCAGAGTGTCCATCTGAAAATAAAGTGGTTTCTACCAGCAGATCCAACTTCCTGGTGATCCAAATGTTTTTCTTTAATGAGAACCTATCACAGAATTGTTCCATAATACTTTAAAAAAAAACATTAAAAACTAGAATTTTTCTTTCTGTTAAGTTATTCTGTAGTGGTAGAGTTGACTGGGATGGCTTTTCATTGAAAAGACTTAGGGGCTGTTACTTTGGTTTTTATTCCCATGTGCTTATCAGCACTGACCCAACAGAACTTCCAGTGATGATGGAAATGTTCTGTAATTCTGCATTGTCCAGTCAAGTGACCACTAGCTATGTATGTCATAGGGCCATTCCCCCAGGGGATGATTTCTCACTTTCTGTCTCTCCAGTGAGTGCACACACTCTATAGCAAAAAATCTCTCAAAAAACAAAACAAAAAAAGGAAGCATCTGAAACAAGACTGATGTGACTAGAGAACTGAATCTTTAATTTCATTTACATATTTTTAAAGAATTATTTTATTTAACTTTATTTATTTATTTGCTTATTTTAATTTAGCCAGAGAGAGACAGAGAGAGTGCCTGAGAGAGAGAGAAAGTAAGCTGCCAGGTCTGGGACTCCATGTCGGGAGTCAAGTGCCCTTAACCACCACACCACCTACCGGCCCCATCATTTACATTTAATTAAATATAAATAGGTGCATGTGGCTGATGGCTACTATATTGGATAGCACAGCTTTAGATTTAAAAATAAATTATGAAGATTATAAATCATAGAGACAGGACATTCTATTTCTGGATGATCCCATTCTTTCTCTGGAGTAATTATTACTGAAAAATGTTCCACCACTGAATAGCTCTTCTCAGCCTTAGAAATCCTACTGTCCTCAGTTTTGCCTACCAGGTCTTGTAATGGAGAAAAAGCATACTACAGGAAGAGAGCTAAAGAATGACCCAAAGTGAGTTGTCTCAGGAAGGGTAGAGTCAAGAGAGATGTTACAGATAAAAGATCCAGTTTGTGCTGTTCTTTGGAAAAGATCAGCTCCACATAGGGGTCTTATTCATCAGGTTAACTGAGAAGTAAAAATGATAGAAGAGCTATGTGTATTTTAAGAGGCAGCACATCATTTTGTATTTATGTAGGCAGAGACATCACTAAGATAGTGTTCTCAGCCTGCTGGTATCCAACATGCCTCAATCTAGCTTGTTTTCAGTTTTATCTACTGTCATCCTATTCATTTTTGTGGCATAACCATTACCAATTCTTAATTAGGAATTGGAGTTTGTGAGACTCTTTTTTAAATGTCTTTTACCCTAGGATATATTACCTCCTTAATGTGTCATAATCTGATAAGGGAAGAAATCTCCAAAAAACACACAGATGTCCCTGGATTTCAGTGAATTTGATAGAATTCATTTCTTGATTTGCACAAGCAATAAGGACACAAATTAATTTTTTTATGTAGTCTAAGACACAAAGGGATTTTGAGGAATACATTATCAAGTCTAGCAGTGAGATATTGCAGATCACTTCTGCAAGCCATTCTCCAGTTATTACTACATCAGTCTACTCTGCTTTTGCTGTATACTGCCTTTCACTTCATCACACCTATCTTATCGACAGAGAGGAAACTGAATAAAAAAGAAATCTACATTTAAGGGACACAAAAATGGAAAATTAATCTGTTGATGATAACATTTATGATAATATTTTTTTATAATTTCTTTACTTAAATTTATTTATTTAGTTAGTTAGTTCGATCAGAGAGGGACAGAATGAGAGAGAGAAAGTGAGAAAGCAAGCTGCTAGGTCCAGGACTTGAACCACAGTCAACATGTGGGAGAGTCCAGTGCCCTTAACCACCACAACACCTGCTGGCCCATTTATGATAGTATCTTTAAGTAGTCTAATATTCTGTGTATTCATACTAGGAAAAATCATTTTATAAGTTGTAATGATATACAGTGATTGAGTGTATAAAATTTTAAAAATTAAAAAAGACATCTAGCACTTCTAAATATATCCTCAATACTCATGGTCATATTATGTGTTACTTTTACATTGCTTTGTATAGGCTAATCTACTTAATTCTTCCAGTAGCCTTAGAAGAGGTGGAGTTATAATTCTTCCAGTAGCCTTAGAAGAGGTGGAGTTAGATTTCAGGAGAAGAAACCGAGACTCAAAAAAGTTAAATAAATATGTAAAAATGTTGACATTCAAATCTATTATGACTCCCTAGGTCAGTGTTCTTTTGTGCCAAGGAATCCCAAAACTTTGTAGAAATACAATACAAATATAATAGATGGAAAATTAATACTGTTGTAGAAAAAAAAATTAAATGACTTCCCTGAATTAGTTGCAGAAGTCTGATACGATGTCCTGGGGCTGGGATACATCTGTCTGATCATTAATTGTACAGCACACTTTACATCTCTAGTGCAATAAAAATGAAGATTACTGAAAAATGGACCACATTTTTCACAATAGTTTGCATCCGTATTAATGCTGATGACAGAATTTGAAGAGAGACCTGGTTTGAAGGACCGTCACATATTGAACCTTTTTAAGGGAATATATTCTACACTGTTAAGATAACATTTGCCAAATAATGATAATGAGAAGTGGTACTGTATAACATTTTCTCATGATTTCAGATGAGGCTGTGGACCCAAGCGAGGCAGATGGGCTGGTATGCAGCAAAATGTATGGCCGCAGCTAGTTCAGGAGACACAATTGACATGGATTTCAGCTTTGAACTGTTTGCTCATGTAACAAAGTTTTTTAATTATAAGGTAAGATGGTTAAGCAAATTTAGGCCTTCAGGCCTTTTCTGCTTGTTTTATAACTAAATATGATTGATTGTCTAATTTTATAAAAAATGTATATGGTTTAAAAAAGACTTTTTTACTTTTCTTATAATACCTAGTATGTCTATTAATCTTCTTTTTTTTTTTTTTTTTTGGAGAAGTTTGTGCTATAGGGCATGGGCACGCTGCAGTCCCTTCTCCTCCATTCTTGTCTCAGGTTCTTGGGCATGCACTCACACACACACCCCAGCGTGAGTTTAAGCCACCAAGTCCAGGGCTCAAACCGCAGTCAACTACATGGGAGTCCAGTGACATAGCCATTACGCCATCTGCTGGTCCCAATTAATCTTAATTTCTAGTCACCTGATAATTATTACCCAATTTACTCTTATACTATTTTATAGTTAGAGGGAAAAAAGCTCTTTCTAGATGTGCTCCCTTTTGGTATATTTCTAGCATTATTTGAAATTGCCTTTTGTTTATAAGGGTAACTGTTAGCTATCATATTTAAGAAGGAACTGGGTGATTTCCCATTCATACTGTCTTTATTTAATCCTCTTTACGTTACCAAGGCAGGTTTTATTCCTTCCTAACTTAAGAAAAAGGAGAAACATAAAACGGAAGGCTCAGAGAAAGTAAGTAATTTGTCCATGAAAGATTTAATTCATCACCTCATTAAAAATCTTTAAACTAGGGGGCCAGCAGGTGACGTGGTGGTAAAGGCACTAGATTCCCACAGAGAGAGACCATGATTCGAGTCTCAGATCTGGTGGCTTGAAAAATCACTCTGCGTACATGTGCCCAAAATCACCCCCTAGGGAGGATGGCCATGATGCCGTCGCTTCTTTTCCTCGGATCTTGGACACGCATGCACACGCGCTCGATGTAAGTTTCAAGGCACTGGATCTGCAACTTGAACCGTGGTCAGCCATGTAGGAGTCCAGTGACATAACTGCTATGCCATCTATTCATCCCATCAGCTATAAAATTTTATTGAATAGTTTTCTGCTGTCTATTTTAGCATAACATTAACCACATGTTATATTTTCTTTTTAGTACTCACAATAATGATTTTTTTATCCTTATATATAGGTTGTATTGCTAGGAAAATACAACGCACAAGGCCTAGGTTCAGATCATGAATTAATGCTGAGATTCACCAAAGGACGAGAATACATCAAAGTCGTCATGCTAAACGGGCGTATGATGGGAGCTGTCTTAATTGGTGACACAGATTTAGAAGAAACATTTGAAAACTTAATTTTAAACCAAATGAATCTTTCATCATATGGAGAAGATCTGCTAGATCCAAATATTGATATAGAAGATTATTTCGACTAAAAAGAGAACTTTAGGAACCACATACAGTTCCAAGTGAGAAAAAAACTACAAGGCAATAAAATGAATGGCTACACTGATTTAATGATGACCTCACTGAAGTTAAAAATGTAGACATAATGATGATTTTAGTGGAAAAGTATATAAAAATAAAATTCGGATGAAATTAGGCCATATAATTTATTTACATAAATATTTTTCTTATAAATTTAACCACTTACTTTGTAAGAAGTCTCGTTATTCATTTTTGTATTTTGAACTTAAATATGTTCATTTGTGATTTAGCTCTGGAGCAAATTTAGCTAAATAACTCTATTAGCCAAAATGTGCTCTAGTGGACCAGAGCTATTCTGGTCCACTAGAAATGTCAAAACAAGCTGTGGTTTCAGAAACCTTCTACTTGTATTTTACTTAAAGAAAGATGTAGCAGTATCTTATTTGCTGATATTATTTGTATTGATGCTTTATTCCTTTTTGCTTGAATTCTGCATCTGTTTTTATACCTGATATCCTCTGCATTATTCATCTTAAAATGCCACTCACTCTTAGTAATGAGCCTATGTCAGTATAATATTGCTATCAAAGTTATTTCAGAAGAAAAGCCAACTAGGTATATATCAAAGCATAAAGCACTTATACATAACAAAAGATTTTCCCCTGTTTCATACTGTATTATATAATTCGTGATCTCTAATTTTCAAAAGGTGTCAAATTCTCAAATCTTCATAGATAAGCTCTGCAAAAGTAGCTCCATATATATAAAATATCAGTGAAATAGTTTTAAAAACTCCAGTAAACTGCAACTATTAAACTAATGGTGTACACATGCATAAACTTCTTTTCTTGGAAAATTTAGTTACACATCTCAGGCATCATTAATTTTTCTTTTTTTAGCCCCAGTGTTCTTAGAGCCAGATTGCTGACCCACGTTTGCAGACTTCTTCTGGAAGTTACCTGAACTTCTGTCTTCTTTGTTTTTATCAGCAGCTTGTTTAGAAGGACAAGTTTGAGATGAGTCAACCTATAAAAAAATAATAAACACCCTGGTTGAAAATTCAGCTATTCAGTTTTCTCATTAATAATCTCAGAATATTCCTTCTCCATCCGTCAGCTCTTTAAGTGTCCAGGGTCTAGTTTTTGTTTTTGTTTTTTATTTTTAATTGCCAGAGACCACTTGCACTCACCAGAGAGAGGGAGAGAGAAAAAGCACCTCCCCATGGCATGTGGTCATGCTGCAATCCCTTTTCCTGCATTTCTTTTTCCTGTCAGAATCTGGGGAACATATGTACATATACCTGGCATGTTTCTCAAGCTGCCATGAGTGGAATTAAAAGTGCAGTCAGCTGTGTGGGATCTGGCTCCCAATGCACAGCACTTACCCACTGCCTTATAGGGCTGGCCCCTGGGGGTCTACTTTATCTCTGTACTTCACTGAAATATGAGCCCTATCATGAATAAAAGGGACTGAGTTGTCAGAGAAATCCTAAAGAATACCTGCAGTATCCTAGATACAACAGGGCATGCTTCTGCAGATTTGACAGCATATTGCAGTGGTTTCCAGCCTCTAGAGCAGCAGAGACAGACTTCTCAACCGGTACTGGTCATAAGCAATACCACGAAGGCAGGGGGTATCACTGCATGGAGGCCTCACATTCCAAGGTTGGAAACCCCTAGTCTAAACCAAGACTAGTTCAGAAAACAAAGCTATGTTTTCTCTCTTCTCTACCCAGAATCTAAGAAGAAAACTGACTTAGCTCCTCTCGTTCAGATGGACCTCGGAGAATACTACAGAAAAGGGTTTTTATCAGTCTTAATATATTTACTTAAATATGTATGAAGTTGAAAATTAGTAGGCCATTACCCCGCACCAGCTCTGTGTGGGCTTCTTTACTTGAATAGTAATAACATGTGCTTCACTGTTCAGCAGATTGGCTTTGGGTCCTATCTTCAAATATGAAATGGTAGCGTATGCAGTAAAACTGTAGTCTTCTCTGCAGGAGATAAAAGTTAAAAATCAGAAAGCTTTGGAAAAAGAAGCCACAGAAAGCAAACTGAAGTTTATAAAAGAAATAACTGTAAGTGCAATACTCTTAACATTTATAGGAAATAAAACCTGTACTATATAAACTAGTTTTGTGTTTTGACTTAGTGATTAATGAAAGGTTGAATTTATTACGTAAATTATTTTTCTATGGCATTTAAGAGTTTGCATCAAACGACACAAAGCCATTTATTTTGTTAAAAAAAAACGAAACAATTATAAGGAACATGAAAAGACAAGAAGGGGTTTGTATATACTTGAGATACTGCTGTAGAAGAAAGTGTGCAATGACTTTCTCCAGCTCTTCACGAGGAAGCATGGGAGGAACAACACCTGCTACTCTCAATTTTGCAGCACCCTTTCCCATCCAAGAATCAATCAGTTTAAGGGGCGTGAGTTTTTCATTCAGTTCCTCTGCCTGCTTCAGGATCTTGATGAGATCTCTGCAGTACTCTGTTACATTCTTTCTTTCAAATGCTGCAATGAAAGAGACATGGTTATAGATTATTAGAATTTAGAAGTGAGGGCAAAGATAGGCTATTCCAAGTGTTTAAACTGGTTTAAAACTAGTTGCCCATGTGAAGCGCCATAAATACTGATTCATTGTGAATTCAGACTAAGCTATTTCTCAAGTTTGTATCAGATTATGTTGCAGTCTCTGTAAGACATTATGGGATTTCCAGTGATACAAAGAAAATAACCTGGTTATCAGAAAGCCTGCAGTTTTCTCTCGGAATCAGAAAATGTCTGCCAGACATGACTATGACAGTTACTACAAGGTGTCTTTACAGGAGAGGCAGTTTATTCTCCATACCTAGCTGATCTGTGCTCATTAAGCAAAATTCTGAAAACCGATGTGGGTTCCCAGGTCTTCTGAGAAGTATGTCTTAGGCACACACCACCAACTATTAAGAAACTAGCACACTGATTTGTGTGTCAGACTCTTGTTAATTTGGTCAAGGTAAGATAATATATTCAAAAGTAGTTCTCTCCATCTGTAAAGTTAACAGTATAATGGCCTTCACCCATTACTATATCAGAACACAGTGGGGCTTTGCACCTTGAACTGGCTAGTCCAGTTCCACAAACACAACACATACAGACAGAATTTTAAAAAGTGAAAATACACCAAAACACTGCTGAGTTAGTTCTTAGGAGTGGTTAGTCATTATCCAGATCAAAATGATTTACTATACTCTCCATTCTTTACTAAATTTTCTTCACAATTAGGGGTATAAAGTATTAGAGATTATCACGGGGTTAGCTTTTCTTATATAATAGCATTTCCATTCAAGAATTTAAAATTTTTCATTTCTTAAAAAATTTCACATGTCCTCGGTATAGCAATATAAAATGTATGCATACATGTGACTTCCTTTTGTGCATCTTTGCTGTAAAACTTCGTGTCATTAATTCTATTCAGGCTTTACTTAATCTTTTAAATACTTATGGGAGTCTAACGCTTCCGTCATATAGTCCTAGCTGTACATATAAACCTATAAATTATAGTCTAAAAAAAAAACAACTTAGAGCCAGCAAGTGATGTGGTGGTTAAGGCACTGGAGTCCCAAAGGGCCGACCATGGTTTAAGTCTCAGACCCAGTGACTTGAAAATCACACTGGGTGCATGTGCACACATACGTGCTCAAAATCCCAAGAGGAGAACAGAGGAGAAGGGATTGCAGTATGGCCATCGACCCTGGGGAGTGATTTCTCACTTTCCCTCTCACTGTCTCTGTGTCTGTCTCCAACAAGCACATGTGCCCTATGACAAAAAACTAACAACAACAACAAAAAACTAACAACAACAAACTTACAGATGTTTTTACAGCAGTTATCACACATTTTGTTACATGCTTCTGAGTTCCATACTTCATCAAAATGTTGAGCTATCAATACCCGGCGACATCTGCAAACACATTGAGGAATGCAAATTAGCAAATGACCTAAAAGCTTTAAGAATTCCTATTAAAACATACATAGCTTTACTACCATATTAGTTTCTTATTACTTCCATGTAATATTATCACAAACCTAGTGGCTTAAAATAACACAAATTTATCAGCTCATATTTATTTCCATAGGTTAGAAATCTAACATGGATATCACTGGGTCAAAATCAAGGTTTCAGCAGGGCTGGATGACTTCTGGAGGCTCTATGCAAGACTGATTCCTTATTTCTCCAGTTTCTTAAGGTCACCTACTTTCCTCAGCTCCTGCCCCCCTCAGTCTCCATTGTCCCCAGTCCATTTTCAAACCCAACAATAGTGGGTAGAGTCCTTCTCATCTCACACCAATCTGACTCCTGCCTCCCTCTTCTACTTTGTTCTTCAGTTCACCATAGAGTACATGCTTAAGAGATAAACAGGAGAAAAGCACTCTCTACAGGGCTTGGTCACACCATGGTACCCTTCTGCCAGCCTACCAGGATTCTGGGCTTTCACACACAGGTGTAGAGTGTTTTCAGGCTGACCAGGCCAGAGACTGGAACTGTGGTCTACGGATTTGCATGTGTCATCCAGCTCCACAGCCTGGTTTGCTACCAATTACACATACCACAAAGAGGCTGGGTTCCCCTTTCACTTTTTTTTTTTATAATTATTGTTATTTAATTTGTTATAGGGCACATGCACTTCATAGAGAGACAGAAAGAGAGAGGGAGAAAGTGAGAAAGCAAGCCACCGGGTCCGGGACTCAAACCACAGTCAGCCATGTGGGAGTCCAGCACCTTAGTCACCACACCACCTGCTGGCCCCTCTCCTTTCATTTTTAAGGACACCTGTGATTACATTGGGCCTACCCTGATAATCTGAAACAATCTCCATCTTTTAAAGTGAACTGATTAGCAACCTTAATTCCAACTGAACTTTAACTTCCCTTTGCCATACAAAGTAACATAACCACAGGTTCCAAGGATTAGGACACAGACATCTTGGGGGTTCATCACATATATTATGATTTTTCCCCCATATGTTCTCAATAAAGAATGCTTAAGAAGTCTGAGTATCATTTTGAAATTCAGTATTTCACAACCATTAGGAGAATCTTTTTGACAATAAGGCAGTTTCTTTTAAATAAAAATGTCCATATTTGAGTCTAAATCCCAAAATATGCTTCATAAGAGTCCCCTGGATGTTTTAACTATATTATTGTGGCATCTATGGGCAAGAAATATTATTTCTTGGTTTACTGATAACCACTTCAACATTTTTGAGGCCTCATGTGACAAGTTATCAGAGTACAAAATGACAACGACAAGGAGGCCACCAAGAAGCTCTATGGTAGAACTAAAAGCATCCTAAAAAGATTTACATTTATCGGGTTGTTGGAAAAGTCATAAATGTGTCATGACTTTTCTGATGCCCAGTATTTCCTAAGGAGAACCCTGACCCTATACTCAATTATCTCTTCAGCACCTTAGCTGATAGGACAGCTCATATTACCGAGTCTGACTCTGACTCTCAAAATGCCTATCATGCACCTCTGTAAAATTACTAAAGCACATAGCTGTACACCAGCGCCGGAGTAAAAGGGCTTCAACTCACAGTCAATGTGTATCAAAAGCTTCAATTAAAAACAAAAAAAGAGAATTACAGTGTCAGAGTATGGATACATAGGGCACCTTTTCTTGGATTAAGGTAGATCACACAGTTCATGTTCTGGTTCCCCCTCTCAGACATCTGCTTTTATAGATTTGTACCTTGGTGCTACAATAATGTATTAGCTCGTCGGAAATGTCATGACGCATTTTTTAATAGTAAAATATAGGAAAAAATATGACATGACTTTTCCAACAACCCAATATTTACATCAGTAACTACTCAAAGCAATGGCATATACTTTTCATATTGTGATCGCCTTTAACTGATCAAAGTTATAAAAAGGTATGTGTCTTACTTGCTTATGTTGAGACAGTATGACACCATCTCATAAAGCTTCTGTTGTCCCACATTTTCCATGACTACCATTGAACTTATTCTGAATATATCTCCAAAGCCATAATACAAGATACAGTCTGCTTTCATGTCATCTCGACCTGTGGTGTGAGAAACCTTCAGATTGTATAATTACTTCTAAGAATTAAAACATGCAAAAATAATGTATGTAAAATTACCTGGCAACACATACTACATCTAGAACTTCAGAGATATGAAAGTTAATTTGTAACAGTTGCCTTCAAATTTTTTAATAAAGCAATCAAAGAGACTTATCAACATTCAGCTTTAAAAAGCTAAAAAAAACGCATCGATAAGAAATCCAGTTACTTAAGTTACAGAACTGAAACCATTCATTAAAAATTTAATTGGCAAAGATGAATATAAATATTAAATTCTTTTAGCATATGTAAGATGAGACAATTCAAAACACTCCAATAAAAAGTAAGTATAATTTCTCCATATGCAATTAAGTATAAAACTGCTAAAAAGACTTCATCGTTCTAGAAAAATACTATCTAATAGATTAAAAATACAGAAATCCTAAATTTTTATAATGTATTTTCTAGAAAAACCTTCTAAAAATCTTACTTCCACATCTGAGTTCGACATACCTGCACGTCCGCTCTCTTGGTAATAATTCTCCATGGATTTACTCATTGAATGGTGAATAATGAACCTCACGTCTGGCTTATCAATTCCCATACCAAATGCAACCGTTGCCACTATTACCTAAAATGTTTCAATATTTATCAGTAAGTTAAGTCAAGATTAAATATTTCCTAGAAGTAAATTAGACTTTTATTGAAGATATAAATTTCACCTGAATTTCATTGGCTGACCATCTTCTATGAACCTTGGTCTTATCGTCTGGTTCCATATTGGCATGGTAAGCACCTGCATGAATTCCTAAATTCTGTAAGCTAACCGTAACTTGCTCAGAGTCTTTCTGAGAAAAGCAATATATGATTCCTATAGAAAAATATGTCCCGTTGTTAGATATATTAGAGTATATTCCTGGAAGATCATTTTTAACACACGTACTTAAGACAATGACTGATTCAATGCACAGGGGGAAAAATAATTATGAAAAATTCCAAGGCCTTGAGCACATATTGAATTTTTGGTCTAATTTGAGATTTGATCACCAACTTACTCTAAAGCAGAAATGAGCCCTGAACCACTAGTTTTGGTTCCCATTACCTCTCTTTTCTCTCCAATTTAAACTTCTTTTATCAATATATAGAAATTTCTCAAATGGATGCCCACAGCTCCAAAAGATGTTAACAAATGTGCTATGAATAGTTTCATGTGCAAATAAATTTGGAGAACACTGCATTCAGCAAAGTTAAAAAGGCTTCTCTATTGTCAGAGCTGGTCAGAGCTTTCTTCTAATATGCTGATAACACCCTGAGAGTCTTTGAAAGAAATTAATAGCTGCTCACTTTCTCAAACTTACTTAATCCTGGAACACTACTTATCCATGACACCCATTATTATCCCCTGAAAACCTATAGACAAGATTTGAAATGTTCTTTTTACACAAACTCCTGGCTTTAGTAACATTTTTTAAATCATTAATCCTGGGTCACATTTATATATTTACCCTTCACTCTATTTATGCTTAGCCAATTCAATATGCACTATATTTAAATGTGTCCTTTGCTATAAGGGAATATATTTTGTACCCTTTAGAACATCAGTGCTGGGACTGGCAGATGGCATGGTGATTAAGGTGCTGGAGACAGAGATTACCTGATTGCCCTTTGTATCTCCCGTTAATGAGCTTTACGACATCCTCAATAAAATCTTCAGTGTTTGAGGGCTTCTGCCGGACCTAAGAAAAAGGTTCAACTCATTAAAAAGTAAGTGAGTGAGTACCATCCAAGGAGCCACTTATTAACAACTTTTGAGTCGCAATTCTTATGTGAGTATGGTGTTTCTATTATTTTTTCACTTGCCTCATAGGATTCAACCCATCTGACATCCCTGCCACCTCCCAGACTCTCTTCTTGATCCTTTTTTTTACATTTGCCAGAGATAAGCAGACAGTGAATAATTTGTCAATATTAAAACATTAACCGTGGCTTAAATAACTCTTCAATGAAAACTCACAGAAGGATTAAATCCATTTTTAAAATGGTTGAAAAATCAAGAAAAGACAGCTGTTAGGTTATTTTATTTTGCAAGTTTGTACATCAAGCAAAATCTTGATTTAAAGAGTACATTAAGGAGTACTGGCAAATCTTTAATGGCAAACTAATATTTCCATTACTCAGTAATTAATTTCAGTAGAAATGTCACTATGGTCATTAGTATCACTCTATCCTTTCTTTCTATGCATCCTTGGATAAGAAAGGATGAGCATAAATTTAACAAATACGTGTAATTTGCTCATATATTTTATAAAAGACAGTGTCACCTCATGAGGTAGTATCTTCTATTTAACCTGACAAAAGATTATATAACACAACAGATATATGCATAAAGTACAAATTAATGAATCTGCTTATAATTATCTCATGATGTTAAAAACTGTTATATATACTTCTCTATTACTCATGTACACATGAGTACTTCTCTATTACTCATGTACACATGAGTATTTCTCTATTACTCATGTACACATGAGTACTTCTCTATTACACATATACACAATGAAACGTCTGCTATAATTCTTCACAAAAGTAAGAGATTACATAAAAGGTATATACCTCATAATAAAGATTTGGCCGATTAAAAGAAGCTGTAAAAGTAAAACACTTTTCAACACACAAGATTTTCTGAGCATCTTTCAAAACATGACTTGTTGCAGTCGCTGTCAGCCCAATTAGTGATGTATTAGGGAACTGCCGCTTTAAGATACCAAGGGCCTTATAATCTGAAAAAAGAAAAAATAAATAAAATAAAATAAAATGTCTCTCTATCATTTAGGGACTAGAGAAAATTATACTATTTAACTTTATGCAGATAATCAACTACTTTGATTTTATTTATTGGGTCATCAGCTGTCTTGTGTCTCTATCTCTATGTCTCTGTCTCTTTCTCTCTCTCTGTGTCATTCCCCAATGAGAGTAAAAAAAAAAAAGAAAAAAAAAATAGGCCATGCAATTGATCCAGGGAAAACACGACAGAGGTAAGTGGCAATAGCACAGAGACTGGATAGGAAAACGAGTGACCATTGTGTGCGGAAGGGAGCCCTGGACAAATAAGAAAGTATTAAAACCCTATGAGTCTGAAAAGCTTCCCAAAAAAAGGTAAAAAAAAAAATAGGTTGAAGACAGGGAGCAATATCTTTGAATTTCAGATTTCTGGAGGGCAGCCCCATAACCTAGGGGTTCAGGGAGCCAGATTACACATGGTCAACATGATTCAAACTCTGGCCCCAGCAACTTGTAAAACACACACACATGTGTGTCCCCAAAATCCTCAACAGGGTGGAAAAATAGAGGAAATGAATTGCAATGTGACCACACCCTGTCTCTCTAGTGAGCACATGCACCTCCTGACAATACATTTATTTATTTACTTACTTACTTATTTACCTACTTATGGCATAAAACAATTCTAAACAACTTACTACAGGCTATGACTATAAGATTAGGTTGGTGGAATGAAGAAAAAGGTTACTATTAATAAAATATCTCACAGAACTTTAGCTTGAAGAGTTGGGTGTAGATGCCAAAGACACCCAGAATGATGACTACAGAAGACAACTTTGAGGGAGATAGTACTTTGTCAACAAATGTGAAGGAGTACCTAGAGATCACATACACCACAAAGATAGCAGAGTATATTGGCTAGTAGCATGCTTCAAAGGATAAAGGCAATTAGAATGAACATGACAGCAGGGAATAAGGAAATTAAGATCCTGCCTCTTGGTCTCCATCATGTTAAGAAAAGAGAGTAGTAGTACTAACTACCTAAGGGGATAATTCCAATGCAAGCCAAATTCCCATCATGTCATCTGGCTGAGAACATAATCCCTAAGACCCAGGCGTCTTCCAGTTCAAACATACGTACCTGGTCTGAAATCGTGCCCCCACTGACTGCAGCAGTGAACTTCATCCACAGCAATTCGAGTAAACCTCCTGGCTTCGTAGGCTTTCTCTAGTCTTGACATGAACATTTTACTTTTGGCAATTTTCTCTGGAGTCACATAAATTAGCTTTAGGTTGGAGTTTTTATTTACCATTTCAGCATGAACCCATTTCACATGCTCCTATTAAACGGCAAAAGACAAACTGATAAAACTATGCTAGCAGATTGGAATACTAAGTAGTAAATGAAGACAGTTATTATTCAAAAGCAACAACAGCCTTGGGTTTTTCTACAAGCAGATGTTCAGTTCATTAAAACTGAAACCATGTCCCAGTACTAAGGTTAGTTGCAGCTGTGCAAACAGTACTGTGGTGATTTACTTACATCCAAATTGTTGATGATACTCTCACAAGATAAAAAAGAAGAGACAGAGAGGAACCGAACAATGAACATGAGAAGATACTCTAGAGGCCAGCAGGTGGTATAATAGGTTGCTGGACTTCTACATGGGCAATTATGGTTTGAGTCCCGGACCCAGGGGACTTGGAAATCAGGTCAGGCATGTGACCATGTGTGCCTCAGATTCCAGGAGGAGAATGGAGAAGAAGGGAATCCAGGCAGCATGGCCATCCCCACTAGGAGGTGATTTCTTACTTTCCCTCTCATTGTCTCTCTCTCTGGTTCTGGTGAGTACACTGTGCCCTATGGCAAAAATCTCTTAAAAAAAAAAAAGAACAAAAAAATGAACATAAAAAGATACTTTAACAAAGAGCACTTATTCTATGAAGGCATAATTCTAAATTGCTTATTATAAACTCTAAAATGTGAGCTAAATGCAATAGCTATGGCAATAAACACAGATTTCATTAATTTAAACATATTTATAATCAATTTATCTGTGAATAAAGCATATTCTTGATTAGCTACAATACTTTTTTTTTTTAGAGATATTTTTGCTATACGTCATATGCATTTGCCAGAGAGACAGAGAGAGGCAGAAACAGAAAGCAAGAAATCACCCCACAGAAAAGATGGTCATGCTGCAACCCCTTCTCCTCCATTCTCTTCTTGGGATTTTGGGCACACACACACACACACACACACACACACACACACACGTCTGGCATGAGTATTAAACTGCCAGCTCTGGTACTCAAACTACAGTTGACTATGTGGGAATCTAAGGACATAACCATTACGCATCTGCTGGTCCCTAATCTCTTATTTAAACATAAAGACCATGGGTTTTCAAAAGTATCATTCATTAAAATTTTCTAATATTGGGACCATCAGATGATGTAATGGTTACATCATTGGACTCCCGTGTGGCCAACCATGGTTCAAGCCCCGGAATTGGCAGCATGAAACTCATGCCAGGCACATGTGCCTGTGTGCCCAAAATACTGAAAGGACAATAGAGAAGGGACTGCAGTGTGGCCATCTCCCCTGGGAGGTGATTTCTTGCTTTCTGTCTCTTTTATCTCTCTCTGTCTCTCTGGTGAGTGTATGTGCCTAATAGCAAAAATCTCTAAGAAAATATTTCTAATACAAAATATATACTCTATATACACACACACACACATACACACACCACTAAAATTATTAAAAAGGTTGTAAAAAAATTGAAGCATAAGTTTATTATGGTGTAAAAATGTTTTAAAATCATGAAATTTTTTGATAATATAAAACCACATATATATATACATATATATTTAAAATATTTAAAAGTAACAGCTACTAGGTTCTTAGTGCTCTGATATTATATTACACAATATTTAGCACATTAAATGTCATTTTTTTCCCCAACCTAATTAGAACCAAAAGAGTGTTTAAAAAAAACAACAATGGTCAGGGCCAGTCGGTGGTATGGTAGTTAAGGCATTGGACTCTAACATGGCCAACTGGGTTCAAGTCCTGGACCCAGCAGCTTGAAAATCACACCAGGCACATGTGCATATATGCTCAAAATCCTTCTCTCTGTTTCTCTCTGGTAAGCACATATACCCTATAGCAAAAACCCATTTCACAATTAAAAACAAATAAACAAAACTGTGGATAAAAAATACACCAACTACATTAAAAATTCATAAGTTAATAATAATACTTGCAAAGTGGGAAAAAAAAAATAATGAAGCTATTGACCACCTTTGGAGCATGCTAGAAAAACAGCTCTTTCTGGGGACCAGCAGTTGGTGTAAATGGCTATGTCACTGGACTCCCATGTAGTCGACTACAGTTCAAGTCTCAGACCTGGTGGCTTAAACTCACACCAGGCATGTGTACGTGTGTGCCCAAAATCCCAAGAGAAGAATGGAGGAGAAGAGATCGTGGTGTGGCCATCCCCCCCAAGGGGCGATTCTCGCTTTCTGTCTCTCTGTCTCTCTCTGTCTTTCTGGTGAGCGTACATGCCCTATAGCAAAAACCTCTCAAAAAAGAAAAGAAAAAAGAAGACCAGCTCTTTCTGAAATCTGGTGAAGAAACAAAAAGAATAAAAAATTTATGGAAAATTGGGGGTATAAAGATTAAAAAAAGAAACTAGCTATATTGATAATTGTTAAAGGAAGGGTAGTGGGTACCACAGTTTTAATACTTTAGTATAGTTTTTAAGATTTCAATAACATGCTTTTTATAAAAGAACAGCCGGCAGGGCCAGTAGGTGGCATGGTGTTTAAGGGTGCTAGACTCCCACATGGCTGGCTGTGGTTCAAGTCCTGGACCTGGCACCTTGCTTTCTCACTTTCTCTCTTTCTCTGTCGCTCTCTGGTCAAATAAAAATAAAAATAAATAAATAAAGTTAAATAATATAGTTCTTTAAAAAAAAAAAGAAAGAAAGAAAAGCTGGGAAATACTCTATTCTATGGAGGAGGATAAAACAATCCACTCTCAAATAGAAGAAATTCTATAGGTGTATAGTATCTTCTTAATAATCTTAATAATTCACTTTTTGTACTGAAATATATTTGCATATATAGAAATTCTTCCCTACTATTATAGGATGGCTAGTACAAAACATTCCCATAAACTTTATGTTTTATGGGTGATATGGTATCTCGCAATTACTCAACTCTGCCATTAGGAAAAGCAGCCACAGAGAATATGTAAATGAATGAGGATACTTGTACGCCAATATACTTTATTTATGGACACTGAAATGTGAATTGCAGCTACAACTAAGACTCCTACTTCAGTGAAAACTGTCAAATATTTTTTAAAAAGCCACAGAAACATACCTTAGAACTAGAGGCATTTAACATGGTAGCTGAAATTCCTAATTGTTTTAAAACCATCAACTGGTCTTCCATAAGAGAGATCAGTGGGCAAATCACGAGTGTAAAGCCTAAAAGAGAAAAACCATCTTTGAACATCATACACCACCAGAACAAGCTGCAGGAACTTACCTTGTCTGCTGTAACTTGTGTTCTTCACCCATCAATTCAGACTAATTTTTTTTGGGGGGGGTAGAGGTTTTTGCTATAGGGCACATGTGCTCGCCAGACAGACAGAGAGAGACAGAGAGACAGAAAGCGAAAAATCACCCCCCAGGGGGATGGCCACACCACAATCCCATCTCCTCTATTCTCCCCTCAGGATCTTGGGCACACACGCACATGCGCCTGGCGTGAGTTTAAGCCACCGGGTCTGGGACTCGAACTGCAGTCGACTATGTGGGAGTCCAGCGACATAGTCATTATGCTAACTGCTGGTCCCTCAGACTAATTTTTGAAACAGCTTTATCAATATATAATATTTCTTATAGTCAGTAAGGGAGATAGATATTAACAAATGCTCATACAAGGTTAAGTATAAGCCAAGTATACAAATGTAAGACTGAAGAGAAAACCATCATCCTTATTCAGTCCTCTAAAAATTAAAAAAGATGGGCTGGGAGGTACCGTGGTAGTTAAGGTACTAGACTCCCACATAGCTGATGGTGGTTTGAATCCCGGACCTGGTGACTTGAAACTTATTCTTGGTACGTGGGCATGCATGCCTAAAATTCCAAAAAGAGAATTCAGAAGAGATTGAGGCAAGGCTATACCTCCAACAGGGTGATTTCTCATGGTCCCTCTCTCTACTTCTGTCTGTCTCTTTTCCAGCAAGCGCAGGTGCCCTATGGCAAAAACCTGAGGAAAAAAGGGAAGATTTTTAACACTTTGAATGTTCAATTTGTTATCATTTTTTGGCCAGAGGACACATTACTCCCCAGAGAGAGAGAAAAAGTCAGAAAGTATCCCCAATGGGAAATGGTTTTGCCACAATTTCTTCTCCTCCATTTTTAACCTATAATAACCTCTGGCAAGGAGCAGACACTTTATTTTAAAACATACTCTAATTAAGACCTTGTCAGAGATTTTGTCCACTCAGTTATTCTCCCTCCTATATTTTGACTTTTTCTCTCATTACTAGCATCTACTCATTACATTTGCACATGGTCAAGTCTCTCATCTTTGAAAAAACCCCAGACACCTGTTATGGAGGGACCTGTTATGTTTTAATGTGGGAACTCAATACTCAATGTAACAGTATACAAGGCAAGGCCTTTGGGGAAGTGCTGCCCTCATGAACAAGATTAATGCTCTTACATAAAAGGTTGAAGGGACCACATTTGCCCCTTTCCACAATGTGCAGGTATAGCAATAAGGCACCATCTATGAGGAATAGGTTCTCACTAGATACTGCACCTACTGGTGTCTTCATCTTGGACTTCCTAGCCTCCAGAACTGTGAGCAACGGACTTCTGTTTATAAATTACCCAGTCTAAGGTATTCTGCTACAGTAGTCTGAATGAACTATGACAACACTTAATTTATGGCCTTCTCTTCTTCCCTCCATAGCCATTCTTTCCAAAGAGTGTCCCATACTCACCAGCTCCACTTTCTCAACTCCTATTCACTTCTAAACCATTCCATTGCTGTGTCATTTCCTCCAACACTTTCATTGAAATTGCTTCAGCCATAGTCATGTATGAGTCCGTTGTCATTAATCTCAATGGAACTTTTAAGCCCTTATTTTATCTTCTGCCAAGACACATCAGTATTGTCCATGCTCTCCTTGAAACAGTCCCTTCCCTAGGCTTCTAATAGTACTAATAGTACCATACTCCTAATCATCTTCCTATACTTTACTCCTTATCAGCCTTCTCTGCAAGTGTTATCCCTAAAACTCTCGGTGTTCTGATTCCTATACTAGGCCCTCTTCTCTTCTCGTGCTTTTCTGAATGACATAATTTATTCCCATGGTTTCAACGGCCACCTCTATACTAACAGCCTCCAACTCATCTGATTCAGATCTTTTATACCCAAGGCTTAGACCCATACATCCTTCAGTGATTTCCCATTAATTTAAGGATACGTTTTTAAAATAGCTTCAAAGGCTCTCCACAAATCCTACAATTGCCTGCCACCCTGGAATTCTTCTAGGTTATCAAATACCCCAGACTGTACCTGCTCTCTCTTGCTTCTGGATATCACACATGCTGTTCCCTTGCAAAACCCTCTTTCTTTCCTCTCTGTTCCAACTTTAACTTTCACTTCAAATGCTACTTCTTTAGGATGCCTTTTCTGACAGTCCCCAAACCAGATATTTGCACTGACACAATTCCCTATTAAAATTTTATCCCTAAACTCTTACTACAGTTGCTTGCAATTACCTGTATTCTCTAGATGAACAGTAAGCAAACTAAGGGCTGGCTGTCTGTTTCTGTAAATAAAGTTTTAATGGGACACAGCCAGGCCCACTTGTTTATATAGTGTCTGCTGCGCTTTCATGCTACAATGGCAGAGTTGAGTAGTTGCCACTGACACCATTTGGCCCACAGAGCCCACAATACTGACTATTCGATCTTTTAAGACAAAGTTTCTGATGACCCCTGCTCTATATGTACTTGTTACTCCCTAGTCAGCAGCATCAGTACCTACCACCAGGAAGCTTGTTAAAAATTTTGAGTCTTGGGACCACTAGTTAGCATAATGGCTATGTCGCTGGACTCCCATGTAGTAGACCATGGTTCGAGTTTTAGACCCGGTAGCTTAAAACTCACTGGGCGCATGTGCGTGCGTGCCCAAGATCCCGAGAGGAGAATGGAGAAGGGATTGCAGTGTGGCCATCCCCCCTGGGAGGTGATTTCTCACTTTCTGTCTCTCTGTCTCTCTCTGTCTTACTGGCAAGTGCACGCGCCCTATAGAAAAGGCCTCTCCAAAAAAAATAAATAAATAATTTGAGTCTCTGTGCCAGTCCTGCAGCCTAGTGGTCAAGGGAGCCAGATACCACATGACTGACCACAGCTTCAGCCCTGGCCCCCATGGCTTAAAAGATATGCTGGGAGCATGTGTGTGGGTACCCCAAATCCTGAAAGGCTGGAGAAATGGAGAAGGGACTGAGGTGTGATCATGCCCACTGAGGGGTGCTTCTTTCTCTCTCTGCCTCTTATCTCTGAAGAACACACAACCCTCTGGCAACCAGAAAGAAATAAAAATCTTGGGAATCATATTAAATCTGAATCTACATGTTAATCAGATTCCTATATGATTCTTATGCACATTAAAGTTTGAGAAAGCGCCACTCTACATGGGCTCCAGGACAACTAAGACCATGCCAATTTTGCTCACTACTCTAAGTTCCCATGCCTACTAGCAGCAAATATCCCACAAAGATCTGGGACTATAATTCAGGACTGATTCCTCTTCTAGTGCTTTTTCTCCTATGGCACGTTTTCAAATTATAGTTTAGGTACCAGATAGATGGATTACTTTCAGAAGTTTTTAATATTCCTCCTGTAAGTGAAATCTTTAAATGTCTATTAATGTTGAGTAACTAAAACAAAAAATGTACTTGATTTTTACATATGTATGGTTAGAAATTATTATTTTAAAGAATTAAAAATACATTATGGGGACCAGCAAATGCATAATGGCTACCTAGCTGGACTCCCATGTAGTCAACGGTGCTTAGAGTCCCAGACCCAGTGGCTTAAACTCACGCCAGGCACATGTGCATGCATGCCCAAGATGCTGTGAGGAGAATGGAGAAGAAGGGATTGCAGTGTGGCCATCCCCCCTAGGGGGGTGATTTCTCACTTTCTTTCTCTCTCTGTCTTTCTGGTGAGCACACACGCCCTATAGCAAAAACCTCTCCAAAAAAAAAAAAAAAAAAAAATATATATATATATATATATGGATATAGATAGATGATAGCTTTATCATATATATATATATATAAAATGAGAAATCACTTTTTCAACTTAGAATTTATGTTTAAGAATACATACCATCTGAACATAATGCTGGTAACTGGTAGCATAAGCTTTTTCCTCCGCCTGTGGGCATAACAAGGAATACTTCCTTCCCAGCCATTGTCACATTAATAGTTTCAAGCTGAAGCGCTCTGAACTTCTGTAGTTTAAAGACATTTTGCAGAACGTCTTTAACTTTACCAGACCATGGAAAATCTACAAAGAGAAAAATGTTAGAAATATTAGAATTGTAAATCAGATACAAACTTGAATGACTGCTTATCAGATAAACATATATAAGACTTTTAATACTTAGGGACCATTAAACTTTCACAGTAAGAACTTTTAGATTAGTTTAACTCACCAAGCCAAATAAAACAAAAATTAAATAATATGCTATAAGAAACACTACAGCAAAAAAGAAGGAAAAAAAACCCATACACAAATACTTGCCAGTTAAGAATTAACCCACATAGAAGAGGAAGTTTTCAAACAATCTGACTATTTATCAGCAAATTTACAGTATCACATAAAACTCAAAATGTCATGAAAAAAACTTAATAATTATCTGGATTTTTGGAAAGCACTGTTTACAATGCACCGCAGTTCCTCCTAGAGGTTAGTATTCCATTATAATTAATGATAAACATGGTGTGTTTAGCAAGATGTTGAATCAAGAAAGGTTTGTTCACTATGGCAGGAAAATGAACTAGACTTTGGCAAGGAGTTCAAATATTTTTAATTGCTTTCTTTTTACTTAAAACTGACAACATTTAAAGTAAATTTATTTTCTAAGCATTAATCTTTCTTGTTAGAACCATATTTGGAAAAAATAAAGACTAAATAATAAAAGATTAATTTCTTTTTTAATTGTATTTTTTATTTTATTTACTTTATTTACATTTAATCAGTGTACATCTGTACATGATACAAAATAGTTTTCCTAGGCATGGAGTGTATATTAGTCCAATCAAAGATATTACCATATACATTATCACCACCAGATAAATTTTTGTATTTTTAAATGCTTTTTTCCCTGATTCCCTCCCTATTATCCATCCCCTCCTATAGTGTCTCTAGTCTCCATAGTTGCCCTCCCTGCTTTTATATCTTCCAGTCTCTCAGTTTCTACTGTAGAGTACAAGACTAAAGAACATGAGAAAGAATGAACTGCCTACAAGTGCCCCATTCCACAAACAGCGTGGCCAGTTTCACCTCCACACCTACGGGAAAGCAACGGCCTATGCAGGATGATATAATTCTAATGAGAAGAAGTGTAAAGAGGGCCAGCAGTTGGTATGGAGGTTAAGATGGCTGGATCCAACATGGCCAAGGGTGTGGCAGGAGTCTGAGACTCAGTAGCTTGAAAATCATGCCAGGTGCAGGTGTGTGCCTAAAATACAAAGAGGAGAATGGAGAAGGGATTGTAGCATGGCCATCTTTCGGGAGATGATTTCTCACTTTCCCTCTCTCCTGTCTCAATCTATATCTCTCTGGCAACTGCATACACCCTATAGCAAACTAAAAAAATAAAATAAAATAAAATAAGAAAGGAAAAAGAAGTAAACCTTCTTTATTCCAAGCAGCAGGTGAAGAATCACATTCATTGCTTGCCCCGGCATCATGGGAATCCTCTAAACACTGCTTTATTTTCTTTGTTATTACGGCTTTTTTCTGAATCAGTTCTTGTTGCCTTTCCATAAGTTCTTGAATTTGAATTTCTACTGCATGTAGCTCACTGGTAATAGAATCCAATTCCTCAGTTAGGGCTGTAATGGGAGAAAAGATACAATGAATAGTCGTAGTTAATGGTAATTTTAGATTTCTCTATTGATTTTTGGATGTTCCTCACCATCTAAAGTAGAGACAAACTGAAAGCAGGATAGCAGAATGATGAAGAACGTAAACTGTGGAGTCACACAGACCTGGGTTAAATGTTAGGTCTTCTTCCCACCTGCAGAGTAACCCCCGACAAGATACTTACCTACAGCACAATTTTCCCATCTGCAAAGTGTGGATAATATCCAACTTTCATAGTACTGCTATAAAGAATTAAGTGAGATGTTATGTTGAAAGTTCTTCACACAGTACCTGGTATACAGTTAAATATATAATAAATGCTAGTTACTGATATTTTTATGATGCTTTAGAGACGTGATCCAACAATCTCCTAAACCATTTAAGTGACCAGACTTGGAAGTAAAAGCAAGCTAATCCCCTAATGACTTACTTACTACTTCATGAACATGTTCACGTTTGGCTCATATTTTAAACAAGATGACCTAACAAGTAAAAAAGAGAAATCAGGTGTATTGTAGGAATTGGCATTACGACTCCACCTAATTTACAAAGAGGCCTCGAGGTATGATTCTAAGACATCTAAGTATTAAAATCCAGGTGAGACTCCTGAAGCAACACAAGAGAAGAAAAACTTTGAACTATCGGTAGTGCTTTCGAATTTATCTGCTTGCATTGATCAATGGGCAGTTTTAATGTCACTTCATGAGATGAAATTTTGTAGTTATGATTTAAAGTAGGGTGTCATGATGGGTTTGCATCATATCAACTGCAAGAATACCCTTCGCTCATGACTCTAGGTTACGGTTGGCCAAAGTAAATTTGTGTGAGATTCTGATCACAAGTAAACTCAGCACTAAATTTGCAAGGAGGAAATGAAGCAGCAGCCAGTTTTACATTGGGATGGTTGGCCTCAAGTCCGGGCTATGGCAGCTCACTCACGCTGTCTGGGATCTGCTGGTTCACCCTGTTGACATGGAGCAGAAGCCAGTTCTCTGGCTCCTGCTAAATCTCCTGGGAGCAGTAATCTGACTCTTCAGCTTCTCTCAATCCTTGGCCAGGCTTGTAGGCTCCTTTCCGTGACAAGCACACCGGTTTTACGGCAGGGTACCAGGAGCCTAAAGTCAGAGTCCGTGGGGTGAGGACACACTGATACAAGTCCCAGTGAGAGAGAAATGGTCCCACTTTATCCTCACCCTCCTTTTAGCTCACCCTCCCAGCTTCCAGCTCATCCTCTGCCTCCCTAACTTCACACCCATCCGCCTTCCTCACTGAAGGCACCATCAACTCAGGACCAGAAGCTGACTCAGGGATCATTGCTAAACCAGCTCCCATGATCACATTCAGTTCTAAACCCTATGAGAAATCTCTTACTGTATTTATAATGGTTCAGCTTATCTGATTAACCCCTAACAAATATAGAATTTTGATCCAGAGGAAATGAAACTTAATAGGTTCTCTGAATTGTTTCTGGGCCACCTGGAATTTGTGTCTGATTTGATTAGATATAAAGGCAGTAATGAGCCTGTTTCTACGGGAAAAGGGGATATAGGTATCCCACATCCCCATGTCATGCAGTGGAAACAGTTATTTAAATTATAATCTGTAGACGCCAAGAAGTAAATATCTAGAGAAGGCAAGGCTCTGAGTCACCAAGTGTCTGCCATTAAAGAACAGTTTAGTAAGAACAATGGGGCGGATTGGTTGCATCTCAGTATGCAGAGTTCTTAGAGAGAAAATGCAAGATCTGCTTCAAGGGAATCTCACAATTTCTGATTGTCCTATCTCATACTACAAGGCCAAGACTTTTAGAAACCAACTGTAAGTCTAAATCCTGCAGGTGACTGGATTATAAGACAAGCTGAATTTTCGGCCTAGCAGGGACTCTTATATTAAAGTCAGAGCATTA